GAAAAGGTCACCTGACTTCTGGAACTGGAGTTATAGATAGTTGTGAGCCACCAACCATGTAGTTGCTGGGACTTGAACCCAGATCCTGTAGAAGAGTAGGTGCTCTTAACTGCTGAATCAACTCCCTAGCTAGCCTCCAACTTGGTACATAGCCTTGAGCAGCCTTGAGTTTCTGATCCCTCTGCCTCCACTTCCCCCGAGTAGGATTATACTGGTACACATCTGGCTATTGATGCATTTACTTGTGTATTTTGAGACAGGTCTTACTGTGCAGCTCAAACTCAGGCTGGCTTCAAACCCAAACAATCTCTTGAACCACCTTCCTGCATGCTGGGGTTTATTTATTTATTCCTTTATTTACTCATTTATCTGGGTTTTGAGAGACAAAGCCCATGTAGGTCAGGCTGACTTCTAATTGTCAATATAGTTTTGCATACCTCAAATTCCCAATCCTCCTGCCTCCGTGCCTAGCTTATTCCTTACCTTTTCTTCCCTGCACCAAAATGTCTTGTGAGTGAATGAACCTAGCTGCCAGCTCTTCCCCCCCACTGGCTCATTCCGATCCTCTTCCCTCCAAGTACCTTTTGCCCATGGATCTGGTCTACTTGCCAAGTGCAAACCGTAAGGTCCGAGAGGGTACATACATTTTGTCGCTATGAGTGGCTGTGATGGGCTGACTGGCAGGGCAAGGCCACACAAGCCCCCCACCCCCACCCCGCCACCACTACCTCCCCTCCCCCATCTCATTCTTCTCCAAGTAAGTTCCTTGCAAATGACATGGAGGAGGATGTGGAGGAGCCTAAATTTGAAATCTCCCTCATGGGCCCCGGTAGTGTCCCCTAGCGGGAGAGTTCTTGAGCAATAGGGATCCTCTGTGGCCTTCTGAGGGCTGCAGTGAGCTATGAGGAGGTGAGGTCTGGCTGGTTGCCAGGGATGAGGAAGCTGGGTCTCCACCGCTGTTCATAGTCCACTCTGCCCTTCTCAGATCATGGCCGAGGAGCCAACTCTCGGGGCCTGCAACTATACCAGTACCATGGTGAAAGGTGCTGCTCTCAAGTCAGGAGCCCCTCCCCACTGGGCGCAGCCACTAGCCCCTGCACCACAGTGGGCATTTTTTTTTGGGTGGGGTGGGGTGGTGGTGGTGGTGCTTCTCTGCCATCTGAGGACCATTGTTCTCACTACCAAAATGATCTCTCAGTGGTCAGAAGTCTTCCAGGTGATGTTCTAGTACCCTCAAGTGGAACTGGAGCCAGGCATCTACACCTCTGAGTTAGAAGCCAGAAGCTGTTCGAGTCAATATTGGATCAAGAGAGGGAAGGGCATATAGGCTGGATCTTGCTCTGCCTCTTCCTAGCTTTGTGGGCTTGGCAGGTTTCCCAGTGCAGTCCCATGGTATCCTGTATCTGCATCTTCCCCAGCCCTCACTTAGCCCTAGCTGATGACCTCCAAAGGATCAAGAGCTACCTGGTTGCTTTCTGGTTAAGCTATGATCTGCCACGGACTGTGAGCCCTCATGCCTGTGGGCCTCGGGCTGGCAGTGTTGACTCTGCCCCTCACTTTCCTCTTAAACTGAAATACACCCCACTCAGGTGTCCGCTCCAAGAGCAATTGAGCATCTGATTAGCCTGACGCTGCTCAGGTCCTGGCTTGATTTCTTGGCCTCAGGTGGTGGAGTAAAGGCCCAGGAGGTATCAGACAGTAAAAGTAGAATACCAGCTCTATCCCCCACCTCCCACCCCCACCCCCCCGCTGGTGGCCAGTTGCTGTCATCCTGAGCCTCAGTTTCCCTTCTGTGACATCCTTTCTTCTCCTATGGGTGTGGAGAGGATTGAGAGAGAGGAGACATCTGGAACCAACTAAGAGCTCACGTGGGAAGCAGCTCTAGAGCCCATCGAGAAACAACTTCAGGGGTTTGTCTGTGTGAGTGGTGGGCATGGCAGCCGGACAGAGGTGTCCACTTGTAATCCAAGTGAGGTGGAGGCAGGAGGATCAAGAGATCAGTCATCCTGTGCTACATGGTGAACCTGAGGAACAGCCTGGGCTACAAGACGCCTTGTTTGAAAACCAACCAGATGAGGCAGGCTCCCTTCCCGCAGCTGCAGTCAGCTGCACTGGATTAACTGTTACAACAGTTCCTGCCCCAGAGACATCTTGAGAACCCAGAAGAGTGAACATCTGTCCTGCGGGTGAGCTCGACGGCAGAGCTCCTGCTGACCACAGCTTCAACCCTCACAGCCTCCAAAGCAAACCCCAAAAGTAAATTTGCTGTTAATGGGGAGGGAAAGGCTGCCTAGAGGGGTGACATTTAAACTGAACCTAGACACTCATGGAAAGTTGGTCCCATGCCAGGTGTGGCAGCTCGGCCTGTAATTCCTGCACTTGGGAGGTTCTAGGAGTGGTTCCCAAGGAGCAGAGGTCAGAAAGCTTGGAGGCTAAGACATTAGAAGCCAAGATGGAGGCTGCAAAGTGTTTCTTTTTGTCACCCTCTCTCCCCCCCTCCCTTCCTCTCTCTCTCCCCCTTCTTCCCTCCCCCTCCTCCCTCCCTCCATCCCTCCCTCCCTCTCTTTCTTCATCTTTTGTTTTGAGACAAAAGTCTTGTTATGCCCACACTTCCCTAAAACTCACTATTTAGCCCAGGCTGGCCTTAAATTTACATCAATCTTTCTGCTGTAGCTTCCCAAGTGCTGAGATTACAGATGTGTAATCACGTGTGTGTATGTGTGTGTGTGTGTGTGTGTGTGTGTGTGTGTGTCTGTCTGTCTGTCTGTCTGGGTGGAACCCAGGACCTGTGCACGCTGGGTGTGGCCTCTTCCTGCTTATTTACACACCCAGCCTCATGAGTACATTTTGAAGAGTTCTCTTTTTTTAAATATGTATGTATTTATTTTATGTATGTGAGTACATTCTTGTTCTTTTCAGACACACCAGAAGAGGGCATTAGACCCCATTACAAATGGTTGTGAGCCACCATGTGGCAGCTGCTGGGAATTGAACTCAAGACCTTGGGAAGAGCAGCCAGTGCGCTTAACCACTGAGCCATCTCTCCAGCCCTCCTTGAAGAGTCCTCTAATCTTAACCCCAGACACTTCAACAGTGACAATTTTTTTTTTTTGGTTTTTCGAGACAGGGTTTCTCTGTGTAGCCCTGGCTGTCCTGGAACTCACTCTGTAGACCAGGCTGGCCTCAAACTCAGAAATCCGCCTGCCTCTGCCTCCCAAGTGCTGGGATTAAAGGCGTGCGCCACCACTGCCTGGCCCCACAATTTTTTTTCGTTAAAATTGTATCTATTATTATTGTGGATATGACTCTGTGTTTATATGTCTGTGTGTATGTATGTATGTATGAGTGTGTGTGTGTGTGTGCGTGTGTGTGTAGATCAGAGGTTAACTTTCAGGACATGGTCCTCTCCCTCCACCATTGGCTTCAGATCTCAAAAACATTGTAAGACTTTTAGAGCAAGTTACCCAATAGTCCATCTCAGTGGCCCCTCATGAGTTTCTTATGATGTTCTCTAGGAAAGAAAACCTAAGTGTAAACAGACATATGTGTGTGTAGCACATATTCATACATGTATGAATATAGTATACATATGTTGACCTCTGACTTTGTTCCTAACACACAACTCCTAAAACCTGTACAATTTTCTGTGATAGAATTTGTCCCTCAAAGACATCCTTGGATTATAAATAAGGAGAATTCATGTGGAATTCACACTAATGAGGTCACAGGACCAGGGCTGCTTGTTTAGAATGGCCCGTCTTGGGACTGGATAGATAACTTAGTAGTTAAAGTGCACTTGCCCAGAAGTTGAGAAGACCAGAGTTTAAATTCTCAAAGTGACTGGGCATGGTAGCTTGCCTACAATTCCAGTTTTGGAAGGCAGAGATGGGATCCCCAAAGCAAATTGCCTAAGGGGACAGCCAGCCATTTGGTGAGCTTGGGGTTTGACTGAGCCCCTGCCTCAGTAGGTAAGCTGGAAGAGGACTTAGAATGATTCTTTACATCAACCTTTGGCCTCCACATGCCCACGGTGAGCTGAGCCCTCCACGTGCCCACGGGGACCTGAGCCCTCCACATCAACCATTAATCAAGACAATATTCCACAGACTTGTTCACAGAACAGTCTTTTTTAAATTTTTATGTTTTTTTTCTCTTATACAACACATCCTGATTGCAGTTTTCCCTCACTATACGCCTCCCAGTCCCCCCGGCCCTTGCAGGAGAGTCTTACAGAGGCATTTTCTTGGAGATTCTCTCTGCCCAGTTGTCTAGGTTTGTATCAACTGGACAGAAACCATTGGTTTAAACAGACAGAAGGAAGTCGGTTGAGCATCCTGTCCGTGGACGACGGTTGAGGTGGGGAGTTACCTATGAAGGAACCTTTAGCCTGTATAGTCTACACTAACCCTGAAAGCTAACGGTGAAACGGGGGGACCTCTGGCAGGGGTGTGATTCTGCCAGCTGAAGACAGTTTACATTTGGAATTCTGGGGACTCTTAAGAGGGTGTATAAATGGCAGAGCTCCAAGAGAGGGGAGGCTGCTGCTCCCCCTGCCACTGGGGTTTATGAAGTGGTCGTGAGCAAACAAACAAGAAGAAACCGGGTATCACGATAAAGAACTTGCCACTCTTAATCAGCCGGAAGTAGTCTAACAATATTGATTTCCCTTCCCCTCTAGCCTTCTCTCTCTCCTACCTAGTGTTGCGGGTGGACGAGACTGGGGTGGAGAAGAGCGGTAGGTAAAAGAAGCGACGAATAAAATAGCCAATTCAACACACTCTCATCTCCTTAGCCCACTCAGAGGCTACAGTTGCATTTGATACATCCCATTTCCCAAGAGCCTCTCCCCCATCAGTAAGTTCCTGTGGGTTTTAAAAGTTTTATTGAGATATAATTGACACATAACAAACTACGTAGATTTAAAATGAATATCTTGTTTCAATAGACATGTCATATATCCATGAAACCTTTATAGTCAGAAGAATAAACATCACCCCCAAAAAAGTTTTCTCAAGGCCCTTGGCAATCCCTCCCTCTCACCCATTTCATCCCAAGTACTTACCTCACCATGCAACACTAAATATGTAGTGTGAATTCCCTAGGATTTCCCCTTGCTTTCTCATGGGCGTTTGAATGAGAATGGCTTCCATAGGCTTACATGTTCGATTAGTTGATCCCCAGTTGGTGGAACTGTTTGGGAAGGATTAGGAGGTGTGACCCTGTTGGAGGAGGAGTGCCAAAAGCCCACTCCGTTATTAACCACCACTTCTGTGCCATGCCTCCCTGCCTGCTGCTGCTGCTGCGCTGTCTATCATGACAGGCATGAACTCACCCTCTGAAACCATAGCCCCCTGAACACCTTCTTGTCTAAGTTGGCTTGGCCATGGTATCTTGTGCCCTTGAACAGGCCTGAAAGATCTTGGTTACCACAGTAGACCAACTAATAGGACCCAGAAGGTGTTACCCACCTTGGCTACACTACAGTCTGCTACAGGAGCTGAGAAGAATAGACTGCCTGCTGAGCTTGCCTTGAGACACCTCTGGCTGTCATTAAGGATGGGTCCCCCTCACCCACGCAGGCTGAAGCAAGAAGGAGTTCAGTGGTGGAGGTGGGGGTTTCCCTTTATATTGAGAGCTGAACATTAAACTTCAAGCCTTGATGAGAATACCTTGTCTTGGCTTCATCTCTTTTCGCCCTCCATCCTCCTTTCATTCTCAGCCGCCCTTTCAGGTGAACCCAGTTATCCCTTGGCTGCAGGCAGCTACAGTATCTAAGCATGCAACAGAAAAGCAACTTAGACATCCATCCCTTCTTTCTTCCCTCCCATTCATTCCTCCTGCTAGAGATTGAACCCAGAGCATCATCTATATTAGGTTTTTATTGTTGTTGTTGAGACAGGATCCTGAAATTTCAAACTTGTCATGTAGCTGAAGATGACTTGAAATCCTGATGCTTCTGCCTCCTCCTCCCTGTTGTAGGAACAAGAGAGCACACCACCATGCAGTTTAAGCAGTTCTGGGCATTGCATGGAGGGTTTGAATGGTGGTTTGAATAAGCTTGTCCCATGGGGAGGAGCACTGTTGGGAGCCACGGCCTTGGAGAAAGGCTGTCGGCGGGCTTTGAGGTGTCCCATGCTCAGACTCTGCTCAGCGCAGAAGACAATCTCCTCCTGGCTGTCTTTAGATCAAGATGTAGAACTCTTGGCTCCTCCAGCACCAAATCAGCCTGGATGCTGCCATGCTTCCTACCATGATTATAATGGACTGAACCTCTGAACCCGTAACCCAGCACCAATTAAATGTTTTCTTTATAAGAGTTGCTTTGGTCATGGTGTCTCTTCACAGCAATAAAACTCAAACTAAGACAGACGGCTTTGTGTACACTAGGCAAGTGTTCTACCCCACTGAGCTACATCCTCAGCCCTACTTAGTACAGATTTGTTTTCATTTAATGTTTATGATTGTTTGTGTATGTGTGCCATTTTGGGCAATGCTCACTGAGGCCAGAAGAGGGCACCAGAATGGATGGCTGCAAGTACTCACACCGATTCTAGGAACTGAACCCCAGTCTTGCTGCTCTTGCAGGAGAACCATGAACTCAAGACAAGTTTAAGCTACACAAGGCTGCAGCTCACAAACTAACGAAACTTGCCATTTCCCATTTCTCTGCTTTGCTTGTTACAATTGTTGAAACAATATAAACACAGTGTTATTCCCTGAAGTCCACAGCTCACCATCAGGTTCATCCTTGATGTTGCTGATCTGGGGGTTTACAGATACAGTGCCATGCCCTGTATCCATCATGCCTGTAGCTTCCTGGCCTTGAAAATGTCCTGTGATCCATCCAGTCAGCCCTTCCTTTCCACCTTCTGGTAACCACTTATCTCCTCATTTTCTCCCCCCCCCTTTTCCAGAAAGTCTAAGGTCCAGAATCATTCAAGACACCATTTTCTCAAGAAGATCTGTAAGATGGCTCAGTGGGCAAAGGTGCTTGATGCCAAACCTGACAACCTGAGTTTGATTTCCAGAGCACATAAGGCAGAAAGATCAAACAGAAACATGGACACTGTGGCTTGCACATGAGCCTTGTTTCAAAACCTTGTTTAACCAGGCGGTGGTGGTGCACGCCTTTAATCCCAGCACTTGGGAGGCAGAGACAGGCGGATTTCTGAGTTCTGAGTTTGAGACCAGCCTGGTCTACAGAGTGAGTTCCAGGACAGCCAGGGCTACACAGAGAAACCCTGTCTCGAAAAAAACAAAAAACAAAAAACAAAAACAACAAAACAACAAAAAAAACCCCTTGTTTCAAAAAAAAAATAGTGAATCAGTCTGGAGGGCATTCCCTGAGGACCAGTTTGTTCCTGCAGCTTAAAAGTAGCCTCCTTATTCTACCTTTCATGCCTGAGACTGGCACTACCCTCAATGACCATCTTGTCAAGTTCATCTCTTGTGTGACAATGAATGTGGGTACAGCACCAAAGTGGTGGCACTTAGGGTCCACATGGCTTCCAAAGAGTAAGAACCTCTGGGACACCAGGTCAAGCACAATCAGGAGAAGAAGAGAGGGCTTTATCTGCTGAAGTGTTCCTGCCCCTACTCAGCAACCCCCCCCAAACACAGACCATCCCCTCCTTATAGCAGTACACCACGGATCATCAAAAATGTTCCGTTCCCTCCAATGGGGACACCTTTTTGGCTTGAGCCATCCTTATCTGTCCCTTAATTTTATTTATTTATTTATTTATTTATTTTGTTTTTCAAGACAGGGTTTCTCTGAGTAGCTCCCTTTGGGGTCCTGGAACTCTCTCTATAGACCAGGCTGGCTTCTGATTCAGAAATCACTCTGCCTCTGCCTCCAGAGTACTGGGTCAAAGGCGTGCGCCACCACTGCCCTGCTATAACATTCTTTGATCTGGTTGCCCATTTCTCTTGTCCCTTCCAACCCACCCTTATTTAGCCTTCGTTGCTTGTACAACTCTAAGCCAACTCCAAGAGAATGAAATCTTTTTTTTTTTTTTTGGTTTTTCGAGACAGGGTTTCTCTGTGTAGCCCTGGCTGTCCTGGAACTCACTCGGTAGTCCAGGCTGGCCTCGAACTCAGAAATCCGCCTGCCTCTGCCTCCCAAGTGCTGGGATTAAAGGCGTGGGCCACCACCGCCCCGCGAGAATGAAATCTAAACTAGCAGGGCTTAGTGGCAAATTCTGTAATCACAGCAGTTGAGAGGTGGAGGCAGGAGGATCGGGAGCTAAAGGCCAGTCTCAGCTACACATAGAGTTCAAAGCCAGCCTAGGCTACGTGAGATCTTATTTCAGGGAGGAAAAGGAGCCGGAGAGATGGCTTGGCAGTTCAGAAGAGCACTTGCTGCTCTTCTAGAGGTGCTAGGTTCAGTGTGCAGTCTCTTGATTGCCTGTAACTCCAGCTCGTGAGGGTCTGAAACCCTCTTCTGCCCTCTTGTGGTTACTTGCATGCATGTGCACACATAAATAAACAAAAATCTGAACCCCTCAATCTGCCTAACCTGGCCTCTCGGGCGCCCCCCCCCCCCGTTAAGCAACACCTGCGACACCTCAGTTCTTCTACCTGACAAGGCTTTTTTCAGGCACCACCCTACCCCCGCCCTCGGCGTGCGCATCTCCCCATCCCTGCCATAGTCCCTATGTTTCATCAGAGCCTTTACTGACAGCTGCATTGGATCAGGCTTCAGTCAGGAAAACTGTGTGGACCAACTCTTTGTCTCCATTAACTGTGAAGGCAGAGGCGTCTTCACCATCTTATGCCCAGCTGAGTACAAAGCCCAGGTGGGAAAGTCAGATGCAGTCAGCTCTTAACTTTTGGAGTGTTGAGGTTCCTAGAATCCCAGGAAAGATAGGCACCATCTATTCAACGAATGTTTGTCCATTTTATGTAGCCTGCATCGGCCATGTTGTGACCTCCATACCTGTGAAGAGCCCTGAGCCTTGGGACCGCCTCAATCCTTTTGCATCTTTGGCGCTCCAAACACTTGTAGTGCGTCCAGGGGGCCTGCTCTGGTGTTCGGGGCCTCTGTTGCCCTCTCCCGGGTCAGGTGACCCCCACAAGGGCGCTGATCCCAGGTATGTAGAGCAGGAACTTGAGAGAGAAGGCCAGAATGCTACACAAAGATTGGCTGAGGCCATTGTCCCTCTTTTTCTTCTGCATGGTTGGGGAAATCAAGGCAGGGATTTATCTAAGGCCATGCAGGGAATGCGCAAAGACCGCTAGGGCGGAGTGCTAGCTCTGCAGGCCTGCGCCCTAAGGTGAGGGGGTGGGGAGCTGGCTCAGCCCTACGGCGGGTCTGCCGCAGGCACTGGCCGGGGTGGGGCTACCGTTTGTCTAGCGTCCGGCAGAAGTCCGCTCTCATCCAGCCAGTGGCGGCTCCAGAAAGCAGTTGCGGCCGCCAGAGGTAATCCCTGCTTCGCCGAGCGCCGGCTGGGCTGGAGGACAGCTGCGACCCAGGAGGCACGCGGGGGCGCAGGAGGCGGGTCGAGGGCTGTAGTGGAGGCGTCACCGAGCTCGGATCGTTCCCCAGTACCTTCCCGGAGGGCGACATAGGGTGGGGCCCGCGGCTCTGCAACTCGAGATGTGGCCCTAGTTAAAAATACCCCTTGCCCTACCCTCTCTCTGGCCGGTGGTGCCCTTCTGTCCCAGTCCAACCCTCCTCACCCGGACCGGCGACCGGCTCCTCCCGGGAGACAACTCTGCCTTTTACCAATTTGTCCTCTCGCAGAGCTGGCTTAGAGCCTGCGGAGGAGGGAGGGACTGAAAGACACCCTAAGTAAGAGATAATAAAAAGTGTTGCAGGGGAGATAAAGGAGAGCCTGAGAGGGAGCCCGGTAAGAGCCTCAGGAGTAGGTGGAGGACCATGGAGGGAGGGACCAGGGCCGATGGGCGGTGGAGGAGGGCGGGGAGGAGGGCAGGGAGGAGCGCTCTTCCTGGTTGGGCCCTGCCCTGAGCTGCCACCAAGGAAGCCAGCCCCAGGGACCACAGCAAACTCCCAAACTCCCCTTCCCCAGGTAAGAAGTTGGGTGACCAGACTACGACTGTCTGACTCAGGCCACTCCTTCTGGGACTAGGGTGCTGTCACTGATCGGCCCCTGTTTCAAGTCTTCTGCTTGCTTGCCTGACGGGTAGGGGTCAGGAAGCAGCTCAGCCCAGGCGCTCAGCTCAACCTGTCCGCCTGGAGCTGGGCCAATGTTCACTGGGTGCTCTGATGTTCAGCTTGTGGAAGGCCGTCAATGCCTGGAGTTTTCAGTTCCTAAGCTGAGGAAAGGGGCAAGAGAACTAGCTGCTTGGCAGCTGTGTGGAGGGGCTTACAGGCAGGCAAACGGGGTCAGAGACCTTACCTGGAGTACCTTTGTTCTACCGTGCTGTGGCTGGCCTCCACCCTACACTGCCTGACTGAATGGCTGACACCAAACTGTCAACTCTGAACGGTAGGAGTAGGGAAAAGAGAGGTGGTGACCAGGATACCTAGAAACTGGACACCCTTTTCCAGATTCTGGGAGCCTAACAAAGTGTCTGAGAGTCCCAGGCTCTGTAAAGAGGGCAGTGAACCATGTTTGGGGAGAAATGGGTCCAAGAGAATGGTAGCAGGCAGGAGTTGTGTTTTATCCCTGGGAAGGCCTATATTTCTACCAGGCCCATGTGTTTCCCAGGATGGCAGAGGAGTTAATCACACCTGTGTACTGCACCGGGGTGTCAGCCCAAGTGCAGAAGCAACGGGACAAGGAACTGGGCTTGGGCCGCCATGAAAACGCCATCAAGTACCTGGGCCAGGATTATGAGACGCTGCGGGCAAGATGCCTGCAAAATGGGGTCCTCTTCCAAGATGAGGCCTTCCCTCCGGTTTCTCATAGCCTGGGCTTCAAGGAACTGGGTCCCCATTCCTCTAAAACCTATGGCATCAAGTGGAAGCGTCCTAGGGTAAGAGGGCCACTCTGGGTGGAACTTGGTTCTGATGATGGGAGGGCAATGGGACTGAGGCCCTCATTATTAGTGGTGTCTGGGTGCCAGTTTCTAGGAGAGACTGGCCCAGAAATATGATTGTGGGTCTTGTAGGAACTGCTGTCAAACCCCCAGTTCATCGTGGATGGAGCCACCCGAACAGACATCTGCCAGGGAGCACTGGGTAGGCCCCCAGGGGTGGGGTTCTGGGTGTTTTCCCCATTGTAGTTCCCGTTGCCGTTCCATTGGGCACTGCCCCAACTCCTCCCTCCTGCAGGCCCAGACAGGCTTTGGCTATCAGCACAGGTGCTGGTTTGCCCAGATTCCTGGGTCTTTTCTGTAAGCGGAGGGGAGATGAAGGGTACCCCACCCAGGGAATCCCAGGTGGTCCCTGGCATCCCACATACACAGAACCTCCCTCCCCTGGGCAGATCCAAAGCACAAGCCTGATAAGGGTCTTTCCTATCCCAGGGGACTGCTGGCTCCTGGCTGCCATTGCCTCCCTCACTCTCAACGAGACTATTCTGCACCGAGTGGTTCCCTACGGCCAGAGTTTTCAGGATGGCTACGCTGGCATCTTTCATTTCCAGGTGAAGGTCCCTGCACCCTCCCTGGGCCAGAGGCATAGCTGGCATTAGGGAGATGGGAAAGGATGGCCCACAGCACTGTGAAGCTGAAATGACCTGGGCCACGCCCTGCATGGGCAGCCCTCCCTCTGGAAGGTATTTGGCCTCTCTGTGCCACCTCTGGTCAGTCATGTGTGAATGGTTAGGCAGGTATTTTCAGCTTGCAGCTTTCCTAGGTAAGGTTGTGCTTAGCAAAGAAAGTGTGGAAGGAGTGCTTTGGCTTTTCTTCGACCCAGCCTCAGTTTCCCCATCTTTGTGTGTCAATTCTCCCTTTCCCAGTTTCCCAGCTTTGCCAAGCCTGACAGAGTGAAGGAGAAAAGACAGACTGGGCATTTAACCACCTTTCCTGATGTTTCCAACATGACCCAGTTTTCAAGTTACATTAGTGAATTCTCCAGGAGCTAGTGTTGAGAGGCACACCCCAAAATTTTTAGTTGAAGCCTTCCTACTATGTTGATCCCAGCCATACCTGAAGGGGTCTCTGTGTTCCTTCCTTCTGCCTAATTAGGCCCCACTACCTCACTCTGCCCTGGCTGAGAAGAAATGGCGGCTATTACTCTATGCTGAGCGGCCCACACCTAGCCAGCTCTGGTCAGCAGGGGTGTAGACTCCTTACTCTTTTTTCCATGCCCCATTCCCTCAAATCTCCAATCTACTCCTCTTCCAGCTTCTAATTGGCCCATTTGGTACCTCTTCTCAAATCCTTCAGTGAGCCTCTTCTTACATCATCATTCTGGGCTTCCTCCTGCAACAATTTTTGGTGCTCTCAGAAGCTTCTGTCCCTAGGCAGCCTAGGCCTGCATACCCCGGGGTAAACCTGGTGACTTTGGGAAGCAGCCCACCGTCTGTGGCTCAGGGTCTGAGCACAGCATTTTCTTTCCACATCTCTCACTTAGTTCCACACTCAGGCTTAAAATAGGGAGGCAAGGGGCTGCGAAGCTGAGAAGGCCGGGTCACGCCCTGTGCGGGAGGCAAAGGGCTTCGAGGCTGAGAAGGCGGGTCACACCCTGTACGGCAGCCCTCCCTCTAGAAGGTATTTGGCCTCTGTGCTAAGAGGACTAGTTGCTCTTCCAAAGGTCCTGAGTTCAATTCCCAGCAACCACATGGTACCTCACAACCATCTGTAATGGGATCTGATGCCCTCTTCTGGTGTGCAGACTTAACAGAAAAACAGAGAACTTATATACATAAATTAAAAAAAAAAAAAGGAAGGCAAGTAAGAGGGGACAGGCCCTAGGGTTGCTTTGAGGAAGAACGTGGGCATGAGGCCTTCTTGCCCTCGCCCTCTCCATGTCTGAAGGTGAGCCTTGTTCTGTACTTGTTCATCTAAACATTTTAATTCCATTTATTTATAATTTTCCATGTGTGTGCTTGTGTGCGTGTGTTGACGAGGATTAAGTGTGTGTCTGTGTAAAGGACAGAGGACAATGTGCAGGGCCAGCTCTCTCCTTCCATCCTGTGGCTCCTAGAATTGTGCCCCAGCTCTCAGGCTTAGAGGCTAACACCTACGCCTCCAGAACCATTTACATGGTCCAGATCTGGCTTTGTAGAATTGTTTTGTTTTTGAGACATCGGCTTACTACTATGTAGCTCTGGCTGTCCTGGAACTTACTGTATAGGTCAGGTTGCCCTTGAACTCACAGAGATCACCTCCTGAGTGCTGAGGTGCCTTTAGTTTTCTATAGTTGTGGTACCCAGGGCTAAGGAGGGCTGATTGTATACTCTAGTAGACAAAAGGCATGCCTCTATGAATGTGTGTGTGTGATACATGTATGTGGTACACATGTACCCAGCAGATGAATTTACTCATGAATTTAGTAAGCCCAGCTGAAGCTGGAACTGAGGCCTGGGGGACCCCAGAGCAGGTGCTCACTTTGTCCCTTCCCCACAGCTGTGGCAGTTTGGAGAGTGGGTAGACGTGGTCGTGGATGACTTACTGCCCACCAAGGACGGGAAGCTGGTGTTTGTGCACTCTGCCCAGGGCAACGAGTTCTGGAGTGCTCTGCTTGAGAAAGCTTATGCTAAGTGAGTAGGATCCCCAGGGCACATCTTCATTCCTGGGGGGAGGGGTTGCTCCTGGCCCTCTTACCTGGTCCTGCTTGATGATGCTACTAACTGACCTGGAGCTGCCCGCAGAGTGAATGGCAGCTACGAGGCCCTTTCGGGAGGCTGCACTTCAGAGGCCTTCGAGGACTTTACCGGTGGGGTCACCGAGTGGTACGATCTGCAGAAGGCACCCAGCGACCTCTACCAGATCATTCTGAAGGCCCTGGAACGAGGCTCCTTGCTGGGCTGCTCCATTAATGTGAGTGATATCCAACTTCCTCTGGCAAACCCTAAGCTTACCCTTAGCGCAAGTTCAGCCTGAGACACAGCCCCCCCTTACCTCATTTCCGGCCGAAGATAAGTCCCGCCCATCACCTCCTCCCTATCATCTACCGCCATGTGTACTCCCCATCCCCAACTTTTTCCTTCAAACCTCTGACCTCAGCTGTGCCCCAACTTGTTCCCTAGCTTCTTCCTGCTGCCTTTCCTTCCCATTCTTGTTTGTTTGTTTGTTTGTTTTTATTTAATATGCATTAGTACTTTTCCTGCATGTATGTCTTCGTGAAGGTGTCCAGTCCCTGGAACTGGAGTTACAGACAGTTGTAAACTGTAAAAGTTGCTTGTGGGTGCTGGGTATTGAGCCTGGGACCTCTGGGAGAGCAGCCAGTGCTCCTAACATTGAGCCATTTCTGCAGGCAGCTCCTCCTCCTTTCCTTTCTCCTTGCTTACCGTTGTCTGCCCACAGTGCCCACAGCCATGTCTAGATCTCCCTAGTCCTGTCCTCGGTCATTCCACACCCCCATCATGGCTATCGTTGGCCACACGCTGCTATGGAGCCCAACACAAAATCTCGGAATCTTAAAACAATGAGATTTTAAA